CCGGTCCCGGTCCCCTGGGGCTGGGTGGTGTCGTCCCGCTCCTGGCCCCACGCCGGGGGTGCTCGTCTAGGGGCAGACCTGGCCCCTGACCCCGTAGGCACTCTAGGGCCTGGCGATCCCTGACCCCCCAGCCCCTACATCTGGGCAACCTCTGCCCCCCCCAACCCCTGGGGCCCCAGAGGGCCAGGTGATGTTGGCCCCCCAGCTCCCAATGCCATAGGACTGGGCGATCCCAGCCCCCCAGCTCCCAGTCCCATAGGACTGGGTGATCCCAGCCCCACAGTTCCCAATCCCGTAGGACTGGGCGATCCCAGCCCCCCAGCTCCCGATCCCATAGGACTGGGTGATCCCAGGCCTCTCCCCAACCTCGCAGGGCTGGTCAGACTGAGGTCCTCAGATCCTCATCCCATGGAGCAGGTGGTTTTCTCACCATCCTCCTCTTCCTCTCAGGGCGGCTACTTCCCGGAGCATGTAAAGGCGATGACCAGCCTGCGCTGGCTGAAGCTGAACCGCACGGGGCTCTGCTACCTGCCTGAGGAGCTCGCCGCCCTCCAGAAGCTGGTAAACCGCACGTTTTGGGCAGGGGATGGGGCTCGACGGCTCCCACTGGGGCCACAGGGTCAGAGAGGGCCCTGCACCGTGGTGCTGAGAGCCTGGTGCCTGCCAGCCTCATGGCTCATCAGCAGATGCTCTGGTGTCTAATAATAGGGCTGAGCTACGACGTGTGGTTGAAATTGGATGCAGGAGCTGTTAGGAGTGGGGTTGAGACAGAGTTGTACTTGGTTTCACCTTGTTTTCCTAGAAAACCAGACTAAAAACCTCACTTAGATCCTCTGCCCTTTAATAGAAGGGAAGGGTGAAGGTTTAGTGTGGGGAGCATTAAGGTTTGGAGGCTTTTTTTTCCCTCTTCCTTTGCTAAAAGATATAAAGAGCAGTAGCTGGCAGCTGCCTGGCTTTGTTTTTTGGGCAGCTTGAGTTTTGTACACCACCAGGCCCTTGGCAGAATCCGTGGCTAAGCTTTGCTTTGGCCGTGTCCTGCAGCATGTTATGGACATCGTTACATCGGTGTCAGCCAAACACAACGCTTTAAATGCTGCCAAAAGTCCTCGACACCGTGCCGGGTGTGCCCTGCTCAGCGGCAGCAAGTGGGGAGGCCCTCCATGCTGCTCGGAGCTGCACTCCTGCCAGTCCTGACAGATGCTCGGGGGCCACGGCTAGACTTAAAACCTGGCATCTTGCCCACAGTCTGCCAATTCCTCATTTTCCTGAGCAGGTAACAGCTGGGCTGGTGATGCCCAGAGGAAAACAAAATTTCCCCTGGGCCCTCTTCCAGCCTTGCCAGTCCCCACATGTCTGCCCGTTTCCAGATCACCCAGTGAGAAGCATTTCCAAGAACTGGGGTCTCTTTGCTCGAGGACTCTGTGGGACGGCCACAAGGCAGCTCGGTAGCAGCCCAGAGCACCCCAAACCCTGCAGCAGGGCTGGGATGTCTCAGCCAGATCTGCCCCAAGAAATGAGGGGTCCAGAGGCAGCGTGGGCCTGCTGGGGCCAGCCAACCAGTTTGAGACTGGGAGCATCCCAGCAGCCTCATGTGGGTTGGAGCTGAGCTCACCCCATGCCTCTGTGAGACCCCAGCTCTCCCGGGATTGAGGAGCCCCCCCATCAATGCAGGGGCCCAACAGCTGCCCCGGCTTCTCTCTCTGCTCACTGGGGCTTGTCTCGGTTTTCCCTGCAGGAACACCTCTCCGTGAGTCACAACAGCCTCACTACACTCCACGGCGAGCTCTCTGGCCTGCCCTGCCTCCGGGTAAGTGTCTGCCCATCATGCGTCCCACCTGCATCAGGGCTGGTGTCCTCAGGCACCTCTTGGCCAGCCTCTGGCTCTGGGGGCACACGAGGATCGTCCCTGGCCACCCCAGGGGGCTCAGCAGATGCAGAGCCGGTGGGTGGCTGCAGTCGTGCCTCTCTCTCCCCTTTCAAGGCTATCGTGGCTCGTGCAAACAGCCTGAAGAACTCGGGAGTCCCTGATGATATCTTCCAGTTGGACGACCTCTCGGTGCTGGTAGGTGCAGAGTTTCCTCAGCTGATGCGAGAGCCAGCTCCCAGGTCCTGCTCCTGCACCTTGGTGGCTCCTTGTGCTCCTTGGGGAGCATGGTGGGGCTGAGGAGCATCCAGGGAAAGGTGCAGGGAGTAAATCAGGGCTCAGCACTTCCTGGCTCCCTTTGACTTTCAGGTGCCCAGGCCATTACTAGCTTCCCTGCAGCAAGAGCTCCTGTGCCCTTTCAGTACCAGTCCTGACCCTGCGCCTGAGTGCCGGGGAAGCTGTCTGCGGACAGGATAACCCTATGGCAATGCCTCCTTTAAAGGCTGATGCCACGGCTGGGTTCCTTGCGTGCTTGTCCAGCTTCTGCTGCCGGGCACCGATCCGCAGGGCTGTAGGCAGGCCATGCCCCTGAAGATGCCCCTCGGTCCTCAGGTTTGGGTGGTGGTTGCTGGATGCAGGGCAGAGAGTGATGTCTGCTTTGTTCTTCCATTTGCCCCAGGACCTGAGCTACAACCAGCTCACGGAGTGTCCCCGGGAACTGGAGAATGCCAAGAACATGCTGGTCCTTAACCTCGGCCACAACAGGTGGGTCCAGGCCAGGGCAGCCGTCTCCCTCTAGCCATGGCCACCTCCATCCGTCACCCCCCTTCTCTCCGGGTCCTGCTCTGTGCCCCTCTTTGAGGGAGACCCGGGGCTGGTGCAGGTGCCAGGCAGCCCTGAAGATCCCCGTATCCCCGCAGCATCGAGACCATCCCCAACCAGCTCTTCATCAACCTGACGGACCTGCTCTACCTTGACCTGAGCAACAACAAGCTGGAGAGCCTCCCACCACAGATGAGACGCCTGGTCCACCTCCAAACTCTCATCCTCAACAACAACCCCCTCCTGCACGCACAGCTCCGGTAAGGTGCCATTTTCCAGGCTGGATCCCACAATGCCGGGGCTAGGCCGGGTGCTTGCTCCGGCCCTAACGCTCTCTCTGCCCCATGGTTCTCCGTGGTCCACAGGCAGCTCCCAGCGATGACGGCCCTGCAGACCCTCCACCTCAGGAACACCCAGCGCTCACAGAACAATCTGCCCACCAGCCTCGAGGGCCTGGTGAACCTGGCAGGTAGGGCTGGGAAGCCAAGCCCCACGGTGCACGGGGCTCTCTCGGCCCTGGTGTGGGTTTGGCCGGCAGCTTCACCCCGTTATCTTCCCACAGATGTGGACCTGTCCTGCAATGACCTCAGTCGCGTCCCCGAGTGCCTCTACACCTTGGGCAGCCTGCGGCGTCTCAACCTCAGCAGCAACCAGATCACAGAGCTGTCCCTCTGCATCGACCAGTGGACCCAGCTGGAGACCCTCAACCTGTCCCGCAACCAGCTCACCTCCTTGCCTGTATGTCCCTGCCTGTACATGGCGTTCCTGTCTGTGCCTCCATGCCACTGGGTTCTCCCTTACCCTGCCATCTCCTCCTTCCCCAGTCAGCCATCTGCAAGCTGACCAAGCTGAAGAAGATGTACCTGAACTCCAACAAGCTTGACTTTGATGGGATCCCCTCAGGCATCGGCAAGCTCGCTAACCTTGAGGAGTTCATGGCGGCCAACAACAACCTGGAGCTCATCCCCGAGAGCCTCTGCAGGTAGAGGACAGCCCCCAGCCGGATCTGCTCTGTCCCTGAGAGAGGACATGGAGGCTCTGTGGTGATACGGGGTCTCTGAGTGTCCCTGAAGGAGATGTCCCTGGCCTGGCCCTTTACCAGCATCTCTGTGTCCCACAGGTGCTCCAAGCTGAGGAAACTGGTGCTGAACAAGAACCGCCTGGTGACACTGCCAGAGGCCATCCACTTCCTGACAGACATGGAGGTGAGAGCCCCACACCCCCTCTGCCTCGGGGGGGTCCACCACAGCCCCAGCGAGTCCCTGGGATCCCAGGGCTACAGAGTGGGATGGAGTGAGGTGAGGACAGGGGGTCTTGGGGCCAATACATGCACTCTGGCAAATGGTTCAGCCCAGGCAGGTGGCAGATTCAGGGCTCCCTCCACGTCCCCTCACCTCACCGAAGCCCAGGGTGCTCCGGAGGTCTCCCATCCCACCCCACATCCTCAGCGTCCCCGTGAGTCCATGCTTCAGAGCAGTGAGGTCTTCCATCCTCTCCTTGGCAGATCCTGGATGTGCGCGAGAACCCCAACCTGGTGATGCCCCCGAAGCCGGTGGATCGGACGTCGGAGTGGTACAACATCGACTTCTCCCTGCAGAACCAGCTCCGTCTGGCTGGAGCCTCCCCGGCCACCGTCGCGGCCGCCGCGGCAGGCAAGCGTGCAGGGACATGGGGGATGATAGCCTCTGCCTCGGGCAGCACCCTGGGAGAGGCTGGAAAACAAGCCGTGCCCCACAGCATGCCCCACGCAAGGCATGGGTGTCCTGGCTGCCTCTCACCTTGTCCCCCTGTCCCCAGGGAGCGGCACCAAGGACCCGCTGGCCCGCAAGATGCGGCTTCGGCGGCGCAAGGACTCTGCCCAGGATGACCAGGCCAAG